ATGCGGCATGTATACGCTAAAAATAATACTTTTTAGCATGAAGAAATTAGGGCTCAGTAAAATCTACCACATCCCCAAAGTCTTACACACAGGCTCTATCACAGATTTTAATGGTCATGTTTAAAAAGTATAGTTCCTCTCTTTCTCCTATGAAAAAATTGTATCATAACTGAGAAATCAATAAGGACAATAAAATTTAGAATGTAAAATACTTGTGATACAAAATCTCTGTGTGTTGAAATAAGTAATATTAAATATGTACAGTATTTAAATGTTTACTTATGTTAGCAATTTCAATCTTCTTTACTTTTTGATTTTGTGAGTTGAATGTGAATAAAAGGTTTTGTTTTGTTTTCTTCCTAGAGATATAGTACTGTTTCATTTTTCTCTTCAAATAATGTTGATGCTGGAGTTTCTCAAATAAACCCAGCTTGCCACCTTCAGGCAAGTGAAAGATTTACAGAGACGATCACCAGAGATAAAATATTAATTTCGCAGATTTTTCAATCATCCACAATTAATAATATCTTGGTCACTCTATTAGTGTCTTTGTGAGATTTCCTCTATCCAAAACCTTTCCCTGGAATTTACTGAAATCTTTCCAACTTTCAAAGCTCAGCTCAAATAGCATTAACTCCAAAAAATTTCTGATCACTCTAGCTAGTTTTTCCTCCTGTAATTATTTATCTCTTATGTGTATTTTAAGAGATTATACACATAATCTCTTATGTGTATTTTATGCCTCTGTATGGCTATTAAGAAGGGTGAATAATATGGTGTGCTTTCTAATACTTATTGAATGAACACACGAATGAATGAACAGAAAGTTAGAGTACTCTTTGAGCTTTTTTAAAAAATATGTTTATTTATTTTTGACTGTGTGGGGTCTCAGTGGTGGCATGCAGGATCTTCATTGTGGTGTGTAGACTCCAGTTGTAGCACACGAACATGTGGGATCTTGGTTCCCCAACCAGGGACTGAACCTNTTCACCTGTCCCTATTCAGTTCAGTTCAGGTGCTCAGTCATATCCGACTCTTTGTGACCCCACAGACTGCAGCACGCCAGGCCTCCCTGTCCATCACCAACTCTTGGAGTTTACTCAGACTCATGTCCATTGAGTCGGTGATGCCATCCAACCATTTCATCCTCTGTCATCCCCTTCTCCTCTCGCCTTCAATCTTTCCGAGCATCTGGGTCTATAAGTTCAATGGTATGGCCGTCTAACTGTTTTCCTCCAAGTGCCTAAAGCAGTAACATCTATAGGAATGTTAATAGAATATATAACAGTGGCATAGGGTCCACTACCTCACTCATAGGAAAATTCTCTACTGTTTCTGTCTAACTCTGCCTGGTTTAGGGAGTGAGGTTCTTCATGTCTCCATTCCCTGCAAAACATACAAGCTTCCCTCTCACTTTCCACGCCTATATGCATCCAGGAGTGCTAAGTGACTAACTGGTCATAGTTTTAGCTTTTAACTTATTTTTAAAAGAGGAATGGTCCAAAATTCAGGTGGCTCATCTTGAATGCCTGTTACTAGGACTTTGTAGTGAAAGATCCTCTTTGTCTTGGTTACTTTGAGGGCTCCTTATTCCTTCAATCAGTTCTTCCTTTCTCCTTACATTCTCTCTTCTCTCTGCCCTCTTGAGGCTCAGTCTTACCTGCCTGAGAAAAGCAATAACCAGTTCTTCCAGCATGCACAGAAAGCTCCGATCTAGGCCTCTAGGTCAGGCGTGTACTTATATCTTTGTTTCTTCTCTGGTGAGGACTGGAACAGAAGAAAATTCTGGTTTACAAGAAAGACAGAAATAAAGGAGAGACAGAGAGGAACAATCAGATTCATATTTGGGGATACAAATTTGTCACAAATGCAGATGTATTACACCTACTTTGATTACAAGTTTGTTCTCCCTCTTCTAGTCCTGCCTTCATTCTCAAGATGTGAACGTACTTTTTCTCCCTCATCAGGACCTCTGTATTTCAAGTCTCCTAAAGACACCTTGTAATTATACCCCCAACAATTTCAGTGACCATGAATCATCACACATACACTGTATCAGCAGCATCTTTTTCTGGCTATTTTTCTCTCCTTTCATTTACCTTACTTGATTCTAATCAAACATCTCCCAGTGCATTAAGTACATTTTTCAGTGTTCTCTCTAATTCTTTCCCCAACCACTTACAGTCTGGCTCTTATCTACTTCTCTTTACCAAAACAACTGTTCGTTTGGTCAAATTCATGGATTTAAAAAAAAAAAATCCATGGACTTTGACACTATCACTTACTTTCTTTCTTAACTTTCTGTTATGATTAACATTCAACATATTGCCATTTGTCTGGTGTTTTTGACTTTCTGGATTTTACTGTATTAATATCTGTGATAATTTTTCTTTCTATACCACTTGTTTCTTTTAAATTATAACCATGGTTCTCTACTCTCCTTTCTTTCTTAAAAGGACTTAAAAATTGTGTGTGTGTGTGTGTGTGTGTGTTAGTTGCTCAGTCATGTCTGACTCTTTGCGACCCCATGGTCTGTAGCCCTCCAGGCTCTTCTGTCCATGAGATTCTCCAGGCAAGACTACTGGGGTGGGCTGCCATTTCCTTCTCCAACTTAAAAATTAGATCCCATTTTTGTAAGTCTTTTTTCCCCCTGCACTACGGATTGAACCTGAGCGCTCTGCAGTGGAAGTGTGGGGTCTTAACCACTGACCGCCAGGGAAATCCCTGTAAATATTGAATACCGAGACTCCTTCCTGTCTTTTGAATGCTCAGAAGTACATTGTATGGATTCAAGAACATTTTGACAGACTGCTTATGAATCAATAGCAGCAAGGTGCAAATCACACTTCTCACACTTTTTGGAATATTATTTCCTTCAGGTTTTTCTTGTGAGCCAAAGATAACAGGAAGTAGAGTCAATGTTGTTGGGAATGCTGACTTTTCTTTGCAGCTTCAACCCATGTATTTTCTATTTTCAATCTGTACTTGTATCTTACTTGCCATTATAATTTGTAAACTCACTGAGCAGGAAATAACTGTTGATCTTTCAATACAAAATAACCCTGACCACATGGTTATTAATGGTAACATGTTTTAAATGGCCTTGGTTTTAAAATCAATAGTGTTAAACAACATTTGAGCTCTTTACTTTTTCTTATTCTTGGCTTGCAGGTTTTATTCTGGATCCTCTTATTAGGTGATTCTCATGTGAGAATGAAATAATTTTATAATAGTTGATTTACAAACATTGGAAGAAAATATTTTAGTCACCAAGATTTAGGTAATTCCACCTCCCATTACAGTATAGTGGTTATTAGTGTGGCTTTGAAACCTAGTCCTATTACTTCTTTGTTTTGTTATCTTGGGCAAATATGTGAGCCTTGATTCCCATATATGAAAATTAGTGATAATTACTTTTATGGGTTTTTGTGAAGAATAAATGAAAAAATTTATATTATATGTTTGACTGCTAAGTGCTCAATAAATGGTAACTGTCATTGGTCTGAGATGATTCTGCTCATTTTCTTAGAAAGTGACTATTTTCTTAAAAAGATTTATTTCCCTATGGCTGCACTGGGTCTTTGTTGCTGCAAGTGGGCTTTCTCTAGCTGCAGTGAGTGAGGGCTACTCTCTAGTTGCTGTGTGTGGGCTTCCCGTGGCGGTGGTTTCTCTTACTGTGGAGCATGGGCTCCAGGCTCCTGGGCTTCAGTGGTTGCAGCTCACAGGTTCNTGGTATCACCGACTCGATGGGCAGGAGTTTAAGTAAATTCTGGGAGTTTGTGATGGACAGGGAAGCCTAGCGTGCTGCTATTCATGGGGTCGCAAAGAGTCGGACACGACTGAGCGACTGAACTGAACTGACTGGTTAAGTCTAACAGCAGGAAGAGTTGGAAAGTCCAAGAAATAATCTTCTTGCACAGCTTTTGTTACAATTGATGCCACTTACAAAATTGCAAGTTTCTATAACAGAAAGACCTGCTTCACAAAGTACCTATGCTGAAAAAGTTACCCCACCTCAATCGCTGTATATGCATTTAACTTTTCAGTTCTTGTGGTTTCCAAGGAATCAACAACCATTCAAATGAGCTCAGGGGACTTCCCTGACAGTCCAGTGGTTAAGACCCCTGGATTCCAGGGCTGGGGGCACCGGTTTCATCCCTGGTTGCTGAACTAAGATCACACAAGATGCCCGTGGTGCAGCAAAATAAATAAATGAGATTAACGTTTCTGGAAATCAAATCATTCATCCAACCATCCAGCAATTTCAAAAAATATTGACAGCCCACTTTGAAACACTTTGCTGGGTCGAGTGTATCACAATTTTCTAAAGCTGCTGCCCTGCGTTTAGCTGGGGGAAAGGAGAAGGAAATACACACGTAAATATAATTTAACATGAGGGGTCCTACGTATGTTCACAGGGTCCCCGATGAACAGCGTGGGGAGCCTAATTTTTGACACTACAGAACAAGAAGTTCAGGCGTGCCACTCATAACCCGTGTGCCTTTGCAAGACATTTCGGGACGAGCAATTGTGGCTCAGCTCGTAAAGGATCCGCCCGCAATGCGGGAGACCTGGGTTCGATCCCTGGGTTGGGAAGATTCCCCTGGAGAAGGGAACGGCTACCCAGTCCAGTATCCTTGCCTGGAGAATTCCATGGCCTGTATAGTCCCTGGGGTCGCAAAGAGTCGGACACCACTGAGCGACTTTCACTGAAGGTGAGAATATTGTGGAATGCCGAGCGCTAGGAAAGATTTCAGCTCCTGATAAAGGGTCACATCACGCTAGGTGTGTGAAGGTTGGATGCGTCTGCAGCCACCACTGATTCAAAAAAGGCGTCTCCCGGTCCTTTTGCGCACAAGCGGAGACCCTAGACCGGGCCCTCCCGGACGTCGGGGCTGACTTTGCGCGCGGAACCGCACCGCACGCCGGCGGCGGGCGGGAAACACCCAGGGGACAGCGCTCCGCTAGGCGCCCGGGCGGGCGGGCTCCTCGGGCCACGTCATCGGGCGGCTCCCCCTCCCCTCGCCCGAGTCGCACGCGCGGAAGTAAACACCGCGACGTCATCAGGGCGCGTCTTCGCCTCTCCCCGCCCATCTCCCCAGGACCGGTGGACGTGCTCACCTCCGCTCGGTGCCAGGTCTATGTCCCGGTTTCCCGCCGTCGCGGGCAGGGCGCCAAGGCGGCAGGAGGAAGGTGAGCGTTCGAGAGACCTCCAGGAAGAGCGGCCTTCGGCAGGTTCCGTCGCGGATAGAGGTGCGGTCCGCGGGACTCCGCGGAGGCCAGCGGGACTGGTAGCATGGGGCTTTGGGGGGGTGGAGGGGATGAAAGTCCGCCTGAGACAGGCGGAGAAGAGGAGGCTGCAGGCTGCAGCCTTCCTGTCACCCTCCACGCCGGAGGCGAACTTTGCGTCCAGAGAGCCACTTTGGACTGGAGAGGGGCGGTCCCAGACCTAAGTTGGGCGAAAACCCTGCTGGGGGGCAAAAAAGTGCACCCCAACGCCGGGACGCGTCCTGCTCTTAAATAGGCTCAGAAAGCCTTTGTTCTCTACCCACCCGTTCCCCCTCCCACCCCTCCGCCCCTCCGCCGGGCCGCCAGCCTGCCTTTGGGTACGGTATGAAGGGAGCCAGTTTCCAGGAGCCAGTTTCCATGGTTACCCACCACTTGGCCTTCTGGGATATCAGTCACTCTGAACGGGGACCTAACTTGAACCGTGAATCAGAAGCAAATACAGGTGGCTTTTCATTCAGCTGAGAGTTTTTCTGCCCTGTTCCAGTTTTGGGGTCTATTATTTAATGAAATTGGGTTTTGTGCTTCTGGATAGGTATACCTGCTAATATATTGCCTTGTGCTAGGCTTACTTTGTCAGATACTTTGAGTCATGCATTAAGAAATGCTCAAGTTGATCTCACTAAAAAGTTGCTCTGAGCTTAGAAACACTCGCTCGCAAATGGGATGTAAGGGATTTCACCGAGAAGTCATGGGTTGATTCTTTCCAACCCTAAAATTCTATTGTCACTCTCTTTTTCAGTTTTGGGAAATTGAGATATCTTTACAGGCCTTTTAATTGTACATCCCCCCCCCCCCCCCCCCCCNNNNCCCCCCCCGCCCTGTCATTACAGAAGAGAAAGGATGCACATCACAGGAGGGAGGAACTACTCCAACTTTTCCCATTCAGAAACAAAGAAAAAAGCTTATTCAAGCTGTGAAGGACAATTCATTCCTTATTGTTACTGGAAATACAGGAAGTGGTAAAACAACTCAACTCCCAAAGTATCTGTATGAAGCAGGTAATTTTATTCTGGGATAATATTGGGAGCGTTTAAAAAGATATCCTTTTAAAAGCTAATAGGACTTCTGTATTACATAAATGCCTATCATTTGTTTTACAGTCTGATTCTTCTCTTGGCACACTGTCCTTGCATATTTCACTTTTTTTTATAGTCTTATTTCAGATTCAGGAATTAGTTGAAATGGCATTTTCAGTTACCATAATAATTCCAAATAGAATTATAGGTAGATTCTCTGCTGTAGAGTAGGTTGTCTTGCAGTAGACTGTTGAATGTTGGGTATTGAAATGATTTTCAGGGGAAGGGATATATTGATATCTGTTCCTGACATTAATATTTCTGGGTCCTTTTTACAGAGTGATATCAGATAACTGTCTATTCCTTGATTTTCCCAACACCAAGCCAGCTAATAAATTACCCTTACACTGTCTTTCCTTTCAATATGGTAAAACTTTATATCATTAGGTTGCTATACAGCAAAATTATGTTGGATATGAATAAAAATTTCTTAGCTTACATATTAACTTACTCTGATAAATCAGGTCTTTTAAGATGCTATCTGTTGGGTTTCCCTGGTGGCTCAGTGGTAAAGAAGCTGCCTGCCAAACAAGAGACATGGATTGGATCCCTGGTCTGGGAAGATCCCACATGCCTTGGAACAGCTAAGCCTATGCGCCACAACTATTGAAGCCTTGCCCTAGAGCCCAGGAGCCGCAACTCCTGAAACCCTCACACCCTAGAGCTTGAAACGAAAAGCCCATATACTGCAACTGGAGAGGAGTCCCTGTCACTGAAACTAGAGAAAAGCCCGCTTAGCAATGAAGACTCAGCACAACCAAAAATAGATAAATCATTTTTTTAGAAAGATGCTGTTAAGACATACCACTATTTTACATACTATTAGTAAAGGAAAAAATACCATCAGTTATAAGATGCATTTCGCTTTCAGAGATACTAAAATGGTAGAACCTATGAAAAATGGTATATTTAAGCTTCTGTGGAAAAAGTAAATCTATTTTAGGAAGTGTGTGGAATTTTATGTCTTCCTAGGGGTTAAAAATTCTTGGCTTACTCTTTAGAGTAAATCTTAAGACTGAAATTGGAAAAAATCTTATTAAAATATGTACATTTAAATGGTTAATATGTATTCTTGTGTATGTGAGAATGGTTATTTATTATATATATGTGTATGGTTGTTCATATATACTCTTATTTTTAATTAATACTTAAATTTCCATGGTGCAAATGTAAGACAATGTGTTGTTAATTTTGCAGAGTTTTCTTTTAGAAACTCTTGAACACTTTGTATCGATTGAGTGGAAACAGTTTAATGGGAATCCCTGGTTAACATTTTTGTGTTTTTTACCTCTGGATTTGGTAGGGTTTTCACAACATGGTATGATTGGTGTGACGCAACCACGAAAAGTAGCTGCCATATCTGTTGCTCAGAGGGTTGCTGAAGAAATGAAATGCACATTGGGATCCAAAGTAGGATACCAAGTTCGTTTTGATGATTGCAGCTCCAAGGTACCAAAGTTCTGTTTGTGTTTAGTTAAGTAATGTAAAGTTATAGAAAGAGTGGGAAAAGTTATGGAAGATTTTGACTTCAAAGTTTCATTTGCATTTTAAAGAAACAAAGCCTCAGATTAGAATTAATTTGTATTGTCCGTTATTAATGTCTTCTCCTGGGTGCCTTCCCTTTTCTCCTTTTCTCCCTTTTCAATTAGTTTTGTGACAGTTATGTTGATTTTTTCATAGGATTCCCTTGCGTATTTTAGCTGTAACAGTTCTTTTTTTTTTTCCTTTGGTAACAGTTCTTGACATGTAACTTACATTTGTGTTCTTTGAAAAGACATTTTATTGTAGTAATATATACATAAAATAAGGTTAACCATTTTTAGTATTTTCAGATCACATTTAGGTAAACATGCCGTGACATTAAGTACATTCATAGTGTTTTGTAACCGTTACCACTCTATATTTTCTGAATATTTTCACCATCCCAAACAACAGTGCTGTATCTCCACATTCCCATCTCCCCCACCTCCAGAAGTCCCTGGTACCATCTATTCTGCTTTACATCTCTATGCATTTCTATATACTTAAAACATGGGATCATGCAATATTGTGTCCTTTGTGTGGCTTATTTCATTTAGCTAATATTTTCAACATTCATCCATATTGTATGGTTGAATTCTTGAAGTCAGTGGAAAAATGACAGTTAACAAACTTATTGAGCAAATATTTGTTGAGCATCTTCTGTATTCATGGTAATAGTTCATAGCCACAATTTATATCCCCTCAGGATTTCTGAATCCTGAACCAGATGCAAAATAATCCCTGATTTGCTTATGGTCCCTAATAGGAATGGCTAGCAATAGTGGCACAGAATAACTCCCCAAAATACTGTCTCTGCATTCCTGGTGGTCCCTGCTGGGATTTTTGTCTTCTCCTTGCCTTGTTTTACGGATAGCTTGGGTTGTTGACTCCTTTTCTCACCTCCTTTTAATGCTAGTCGGCTGATCCTATTTTTGTAATAGGAAAATGGTCAGGGAGGAGTAGCATAGGCATGGTGCCGCCTTCCTCTTTTTCCTAAGTTCTCTAAGATAGCAGCTGAGACGGGGACGAATCCCATGTCATTATTGTTTCCCACAGCTTGCTCACCAGAGGTCACTGTGTTGTCTTAACCACTTTCCACTGACTTCATTGTATTTCCTTATTGTTGCTTTATCCCAGAACATTCCCTTAGTTTTCCTGCCTGTGTAGGTCACAAGTTTCATAATTTACCATCCTTGTAATTAAAATATATTATTAGGCTATTTTATGTACTCTCTTGTTTAGTCAGATTAATTTGATCCCTTGATGTCTGTACATTTGAGGGGAAAAATTTAATTTGTGAAACAGGAGTGCATTTCTGTGATTTTTCTTTTTATGTGTATGTTAATATACTCTGCTGTTTGAACATTAGGAAACAGCAATCAAATACATGACTGATGGATGTTTACTGAAACATATTCTGGGAGATCCAAATCTTACCAAGTTCAGTGTCATTATTTTGGATGAAGCCCATGAGAGAACTCTAACTACAGTGAGTACTTAACTTTATTGCTTATTTATTAGATAGTTTTATTTCTTTGGGAGTAGTTTTGTACTGTACAGTGAATTGCCTTCCCTTCCTTACATTTTAGTCAATTAAAATATGAATCCTTTGATTAAGGAGAGCAAAATACTTAAAATAAGTTGGTTGTTATGTACACTTGTGACTTATTGGAAATTTACTTTTCTTTCAGGACATCTTATTTGGTTTATTGAAGAAGCTATTTCAGGAGAAGTCTCCCAACAGGAAGGAGCATTTAAAGGTCGTAGTGATGTCAGCAACAATGGAATTAGCCAAGCTCTCTGCATTCTTTGGAAATTGTCCAATATTTGATATACCCGGAAGGCTTTATCCAGTCAGAGAAAAATTCTGCAATTTGATTGGTCCACGAGATAGAGAAAATACTGCATACATTCAAGCGGTATTACTTGGCATCCTTTTTATGTCTTTTCTGTATCTGTGATTCTAGTTGACTGAGTAGTTTGATAATTCATTTTTTCTGTAGTATTTTAGCAGAAGCCTTCATAGGTCCTAGGACTTTTGAGAATCAGATTTAATTTTTCTGTGGAGCTGAGGGAGATGGTGGTAGTGGTGGCGGGGACTTCTATCTCCACTAGCATTTTATGCTTGTGTTTCTTGTCCTAGATTGTGAAAGTGACCATGGATATCCATTTGAATGAAATGGCTGGAGACATCTTGGTTTTTCTGACTGGTGAGCATTCAGTCCCAGGTTTAAAAACGAGGGAAATGTGGCACCACACTGCTATGTACTTTTGTTGGAAAATCTAGGTTCTACTCATTTTATCCTAGCCTTTTATGGTTATCTGAGTAGTTGTAGATGTTGTATCTATTATAAGATATGTAAGATAATTCTACACTAACCTGAAAACCACAGGTCTCCTTAGTAAACATATGTAAAATACACTGACCTTTTAGTAGGAAGATACTAAATGGTAAAATATTAATATTTTTATTACCGTATGTAGAACTGTTTACCACTAAACAGTCCTGGATCTGAATGACTAATTTCATTATTTCAAAAGACATCCTACTGGCTGCTTTCTTCTTTGAGTGGTGGGATGGTACTGTGTGGTAGCAGTGCCTAAGGTGTGGAATCCGTGTCTCATAGGCATGCTTTTTTGGATCAAAAATAGAATAGTTAAATCTCAGACTGGTGTGATTCTTCAAGTAGCAGCATTCTGCTAACAGATCTGAGTCATTTCATGGCTCACCTCCTACACTGCCTGTACTAATGTCAGAAGTGAGACATTGTAACAATCTCTTAGCCTTTTTAAGGAATTTTAAGTATTTTTGACATCAAATGCAGTATCCCCTATGGTAATGATTAACTTTATTGAATCTTCTTCAAATACCATGTTAGCAAGATGAAAGACTTGATGACTGTAAATGTTTTTATTCCTTTAGAGATTTAAATTCCTTGGAAACTGGTATTTCTTGTATTTTTAATTTTATGTTGGGATTGGGTACAACTTGTGTTCATCTACTTTAGATCAAATGAGATATTTAAAATATGCAAAACTAACATAAATCTAGAAGGGTTTTTTTTTTTCATTCTTAAATAATTTTGCTGTTCAGTTGCTGACATTATTTTCTCCCCTCATTTCAGGTCAGTTTGAAATCGAAAAAAGTTGTGAGTTACTTTTTCAGATGGCAGAATCTGTTGATTATGATTATGATGTCCAAGATACCACTCTAGATGGCTTGTTAATATTGCCCTGTTACGGATCTATGACAACGGGTAATTCCTCACTAGAACAGAAAATTTGATTTTTAAAGAACTTTATAATTGACTAATCTATTGGATAATCACATGTTTACAGATACAGTGTGCAGACAGTAAGTGTTTAGGGCGAAGAATTTCACAAAGTGAACTCACCTTTGTAACCAACAGCCCAGATCAAGAAGTAGTGTTTGGAGAACCATCCTGCATCCCTTGAGAGACATATTGAAGCCTTTTCACATTCACTTTTCCAAGACTTTGATCATCTATCCCCCTTAATGTTGTTAAGAGAGGGCTGTGTCCTCTCCCAGCAAAACAAAAATATTGTTATTAATTTTTTGAAATGAGGACTATAATTCCTCGATAGTAGTACCATAAATCAAATCTAATTTGCCACTGCCACAGAATTTCTAGGAATCTTATATATCCAGACATAACAGAGAAAGTGGATTGTTTTCTTTTTATGTAGCCACGCATACTAGTCTACTTTTCAAGTACGATGTAGTTCTTTTTTAAGTTCAGAGAGCAAATTCTAACTCTGATCATTCTATTTGTTCATAATAAATGTTACTGAATGAGGTTTAGAATTTGTTTTGTATAACTATTGCATTATGGAATTTGACTTGTAATATGAAAGGGAAGTTAACCTGTAGTCTCCTATTTGGACTTTGACTGGGATTAGCACTTATGTAATGCAAAAAAGCATTTGAATGTTTTTATATTTTATGTGTAGTTTTGTTTTCATTGAGTAGGTGGTTCTTATCTGTATATTAACAAAAGCAGTTCAGCAGTGTATGTGTTGGTAAATAACCATAGACACACCATTTTAGAAATCCCTTTTGTGATGGTATTGGGCCCTCACACTCAACATTGACATCTATTTTAGATTATTATGTCTTCAAGGGAATTCGTAGGGTCATTGTTAGGTATTTAAGGTTCTCATTTATTTTGGAGATTCTAGCTACTAATTCTTTTATAATTTACTTTGTAATTGATAAGATAATTCAAAACCTGGTATAGTTGCTTTGTGTTAATTGTTAATAATACATACATACATACTTCCATATAAAGTAAAGTTCATTCTTTCCTTCTTACTGCCACATTGAAAATAATTGTTCTTTATCTGCCATTGCTTCTTGCTTATCTTCCTGAGATTCAGTTTTTATACTATTAAAGCTTGCTAGTGACCTGTTCCTCAAATCTCATGGCATTTTTCTATCAGTTTGAATTTTGATTTTGAGTTAATAATAAGTCTCCTTAAATGCTGTTGTGTAGGATAGTCATTTGGTTCTTCTGACCACTTTTTCCATAAGTCTGTTGCCTTACCACCCTCCCTGGCTTTTGTTCCCCTCTGAATATGACTATTTTCTGAGGTTTCTTCCTTAGCTTGCTATTTTCTTAGAATTCTCTGTTTTGGAGGGGTTGGCTTCTAGGATTCACCTGTCACTTCTTTGTGTTGACTCCTGAAAGCTGTCTGTAGTTCAGTCTCCTGCACTCTAGGCCTCCTGGGTCTCACAACGCTTTCTGATGTGTTCATTATCTCCTAGATCATACAGTCCAAGCACGTGGCAACTCCTACAGGTTTTCTTTTGCCTTTATCTTCTCCAGAGCCTTCGTCTTTCTTCTTTTTTCCCTCATTGTCATTAGAATTGGGATCCTCAGTTTGCTTTCCTGGGTTGTTAACATATCCAGCTAACTGATTTTCCCTGATTTAATTTGCCATCCTGCCTGCTGTGGTAAATATAATCTTCCAAAAGCACAGCTCTGATTGTGTTGGTCTCCTATTCAGTACCTCCAGTCATTTCCTATTGCCAACTGAATTAATGCCAGCTTAATAACTCGGCGTTCATTTTCCTTCCAATATGACTTTAGCCAGCTTTCAGCCTTAAATCCCAGTGTATGTGATTTTCTTTGTTAGTGTATATCAGTTCACTTCAGTTGCTTAGTCCTGTCCGACTCTTTGCAACCCTGTGGACTACAGCACTCCAGGCTTCCCTGNAGTTTTCTGAATGTTGAGCTTTAAGCCAACTTTTTCACTCTCCTCTTTCACTTTCATCAAGAGGCTCTTTAGTTCTTCTTTGCTTTCTGCTATCAGGGTGGTGTCATCTGCATATCTGAGGTTATTGATATTTCTCTCCTGGCAATCTTGATTCCAGTTGGCGTACATAGGTAAGTGGTAAAGATGTGAAATTGGGTTTGAGTAGAGCCATTACTGAAGGCTTCTGTCTATTTATTTTAGTTCCCCTTCTCGTTCCAGGGGCACTGTAAGGTGAGCTACTGGTGATCCGTTATGATCATAACCATATTTATTATAGCAGTTTATGACAGTGCAAAGAGGCATTCAGATGGAGCCAGTGAGGTATTGAGTAATGGGTGAGATGGAGTTTGATGAAGTAGAGAGACAGTAGCAGGTTCCTGGGATCTAAGGCTTTCTTTATAAGCCTAGTAAATATAATATAGTGCTTAGTTTCTTTGTTATTGCTACTTTGGGTTGTGGGGAGAGACCTTAACATATTGTTATTTCTTTTATTTCCTATTAGCCCGAGGAACAGAAAGTTTGCATTTGGGAGTGAGGAGAGGGAAGAAGGGTTTCCTGCCTATAGCCTGGAGTGAGGGGTTTCGATAGGTTTAGTGATGAGGTAGACATTATGAGGTGGATATTTTATATGCTGTTAACTTCTGAGCTAGCCATGAGTGTGGCTATTTTAAAGTGACATCTTTAAAAAAAAAAAAAAAGTGACATCTTTAAATATCTCCCTGCTTGACATAAAAAATTCTCATCTGTCAAATGTGAAGAGGTGCTGAGGTGTTCCTTCTACTACCAGGTCATCCGACCCTGCTCACTGGGCTGAACTCCCCCTGACCCCCACCCCTTGTGATGTTCACTCAGGCTCAAAATGTAAGAGCTATTTTTGATCCCTTTTCCTCTGGCAACATTTTTGTGATTCTGTTTGCTCCTTCCTGAACTTTTATTCTCCCCCCCACTGTTCGAAATTCTGCTATTTTGTTTCACAAGTGCAGCCAACTCCATAAAAACCCTTCCTGCTTTCCCTCCTGGCAGCTGGCTTTTATCTCTTCTTTGTTTGAACCTCATTGTGCTTTACTGTACCTCTTGTGGCATTTAACACATTTAACTTGTGTTGCGATTGTTTCATCCCCTCTATGAGATTGTGAACTTCCTGAGGACAAGTACTGTGTGTTGAACAAGTCCTAACTAAATGTTTGTTAAATTGAGTTCCAGGTTTTTCACTTTCTGCTTGATATTCTGTTATATTAATGTCTTGTACCAAACTCAAGAATAAGAACCTTATTCTTGTTTCTCTCAAACCTTTTCTCTCTTTTTACTTCTTCCTTTTTGTTCAGGTCTTACACTCCTGCATGTTTGTTGTGTATTTAGGGAAAGCTAAGTGAAGTTGCTCAGTCGTGTCCGACTCTTTGCGACCCCATGGACAATATAGCCCACCAGGCTCCTCAGTCCATGGAATTTTCCAGGCAAGAATACTGGAGTGGGTTGCGATTTCCTTTTCCAGGTAGGGAAAGCTAAACCCCTACTAACATTTATGAACTGAAATATATTTGTTGCTTCATAATTGACAATTATTTGCATTGAATTAGGCATTTTTAGCACTGAAGTAATTCTCTAATTCAGTGCAGAAGCCTTTTGTGGAGGGTGGGAATAGATTTTTTTTTAAGTAATAAAAGCCATGGCTATTTTTCTATAAAAATGCATATATACCTGTGTATATATATATGTGTATGTATATATATATATATATATGCATAATCAGATTTCTTTATTTTACAGATAGAGGCTAAGTGCTGTTCCTAAGGTCACATGGTGAATCTACATTTGATTACTGGTTATTCATTCAGTAGTGGAGGATCTAACAGTACATGTGTTTCCGCAATAGATGAAGAAAAGGAGAGGAGTTTTACCTTGGGGTGGTGTACAACATTTTAAAAGAGGAGAAACTGCTCATTTAGATTATTGCATGCATCCCAAAATAGTTTTTTCTCTTCTGCTTACAAAACAAAGATACTGCTTTCAATATGTCGAGTACCAAGTGTCTAGGATAGTTTCCTTAAATGTTAAGATTAAAGATGTGGGGGAATAAGGCTAGTGAGTTTCACATAAAAGCTTTTAGTCTATGTGTTTTCTCCCCAAATGAAAAATTTTATCTTATCTTAGAAAGAAATACATACTTTTTTAAAACAATAAAATCATCAAAGCAAGAAAAATAAACTTAGATGCCACCAACATGATTAAGTGATAATCACTATTAATATTTTGAGGTATATTGTTCTGACCTTTTTATTTATACATTTAGATATGTTTTATTGTTTAATTTTTTTTTTAAGAAATATGGGTTGATTTCTCATATGCTCCTTTGTTTTTCTTTTCTGCCCTTTGTAGAAGTTTTAAAAGTACAGAAAAGTACCCAAAAAATGCATTTTCCACTATGCAGAATTAACCTAGATGGTGTCTGTCTTTAAAGAAAAATTACTCAATTGAGGGAAAATGATAAAATTTGATTATAACGAATTCAAGCAGTGTACAAAATTACAAAGGTAAACTTAAAGAAATCACCTCAAACTCCATCCAGAAATAACCATCTTTAACATTAGAAAGAACATTATTCAGATCTCTGTGTATGTGTGTGTGTACGTGTGTACATATAGAAGGATAAGTAAGTAGGTAGGCTGAAAGAAATACTTTTCAGGAGTGAGATTATACTATTAGTTGCTTTTTTAGAAAGTAATTTTACTTGAATTTACTTGAATTAATTGTTAGCTTTTAACTTCAAGTAAATCTTTACCATGAGATAATATTTTATAATAAAAGATTGCTCTAAGTTTAAAAAATGAAAAATATTAAGCTGAAGTTAATATCTTCCTTCTAGACTATATTTGGTGCTTACTTTGGCAGCACATATGCTAAAATTAGACAGTATTTGATTGGAGATCTTATGTGTTGCCTGATTTGAAAGATGAAGACTTAAGTACTTATATTCTTCTATATCCTCCCCTTCTGATTTTTGTCAGTTATTTTTACATTGTTCAGATGTATTCAGTGTTTATCATCAATCCTTTTACCATGATTTTTCCATTCCTAAACTATTTCGATTGATTTTAGATTGGGTAGATTTTAACCTTTTTTTTTTTCTTCTTTTTAATAGAAGGGATCCTGGGTGTTTTTGTTTTTGTTTTTTTGTAGTTCTTTTGTTTAAGAATGTCAGGCTTTTGCCTTTATACTTGAGCTACATCTTGGCTGGGTTTTATGTTCTTGGGTTACGCTTTCTTTTCCTTAGAACTTGGTAGACGTTGTCCAGTTGTCTTCTGACATTGAGTGTTGCTGCGGAGAAGTCTGAGGCCAACCTGATTTTTTTCCCCCTCCTTGTAAGTGATTTGTTTTATCTGTCTGATTGCTTGAAATTTCCTATTTTTATCCTTAAAGTTCAATAGTTTCATTTAGAATATTTTTTGGTGTTGGGTGTTTTATAGTAAAAATTTCCTGGCATTTTCTGTGCTTTTTAAAAAAATCAACTTTTCATACAATAAACCATGCCTGTTTTAAGTATATAGTTTCCTGAGTTTTGAGAAGTGTACATATCTGTGTAGGAGCTTCCTAGGTGGCTCAGTGGTAAAGAATCCCACCTGCCAGTTCAAAACATGCAGGAGACGGGGGTTCAGCCCTGGGTCGGGAAGATCCCCTGGAGGAGGAAATGGCGCCCGCTCCAGTACTGCTGCCTGGAAAGTCCCGTGGACAGAGGAGCCTGGTGGCTGCAGCTGATGGGGTTGCAAGGAGTCAGACACGACTTAGCGATTGAGTACACATGCACACGTATCTGTGTAACTGCCACCAGAGCCACGATAAATTGGTCGCTCTTTTGATCTGCAATTTTAATTATCATGTTGGATTGCCTCTCTTCCTCTATTTTAGCTTCCTTCCAGTTACTTTATCTTTTCAACTGCATTTACTGATTATCTCAAGCCTTTTCTCTGTGTCAGAAGTTTGATTTTCAGCTGTGTTAGTGAGGGTTCTCAAGATATTTTTGATGCACCCAAAAATGACTTCCAGTGGGGGTAGAGTTGGAGCTGAACAGTGTTGTACTACTTTTATTTTGTTCCAGAATCATTTTAACCCCTTTGATTAACCATTTCTGTTTATAGCTCTGTGTTCCTTTTATACACATTTTCTGTCTTTCTCTTATCTCTCACACACACACACACACACACACACACACATTCTCTTTCAAACATGTTTCTGCTTTAGGAACAATTTGAAACAAATTTTATGAGGATGTTTCTGTTGGCCTTAACATATAATGTGGAACATACATGTATCTTAGAAATGTTAAAGAGTGTTAAGTGGTCTAGCCTCAGTATCTTTATTTCTTGGTAGATTTTGGAACATCTTTCTGCCTTTTTGCCAATCCTCCCTCCTCACCTGTTAATTTACATCCTGGTACCTTATTAGATGGGCTTACCTGGTGGCTTAATGGTAAATAGCCTGGGGGAGGAGACATGGTAAAGAGCCAGTGTGAGAGGTGCAAGAAATGCAGATTTGATCCCTGGGTCGGAAAGATGCCCTGGAGGAGGGCATGGCAACCCACTCCAGTATTCTTGCCTGGAAAATTCCACGGACAGAGGAGTCTGGTGGGCTACAGTTCATGGGGTAGCAAGGAGTCGGACACTACTGAGGAAGTAAGCTTGCACGCAGTGAAAGTATTGTTTCCCCTTTGTGGAAACTGAGTATGTGCTTTAGGATATATGTATTTAACTTTACCCCCGAACCTTTACAAAGAGACATAAAATTGGCATATGTGTATACTTATGGAATATGGTGTTAAAGTATATGGGTGAAATGTAAATGTGAAACAAACATGAGTATTGTCAAAATAGCAGGTTAAGGACTTTTTAATTGACTAGTGAACAGTGATAAACTGAAATCTTGCTTGAATTCAAGACCAAAATTAGGTAATTTTAGAAATGAGTTAATTGAAAAACAGAGTTGATCATAAATATGTTCAGAATGGACATTTCTAATTTATGTAAACTTTTACAGTAATGTGAAATTTTAAAAGTAGAAGAATCTCTATTATTTATACCATGCATTTTAAAATTTATCAATTCATTGAACTTTATTGAGCACTTTCTGTGGTCCAGGCATTTTAGGTACTGGGGTGGGAGGGAAGTGGTATGTCTTGAATAAGAGAAAGTCCTTGTTCTTACAGAGCACATTATAGTAGAAGAGATAGACAGCAGATGAATGTGTAAACATGTAATGTGAAATACTGGGTAGTGTATGACTCGTTTGAACTATCTGGAAGAAATGAGCTACCTAAATCTAAGACACACCTAAAAAATAATTTTTATCATTTATGTGTAAGTTGCCTTTCTAGCACTTTTTTTCCTTAAGTTAATTTCAGGATGATGTAGAAGAGCAGTAATACTTGACTTGGTTTTAAACTTGCCTGTCTATATGTGGATCTTGGGCAAGTCACTTGACTTCTCTGGGCTTTAGTTCTCATCCATAAAATGAGATGGTTGGCCTAGTATATGATTTTAAAACTGCTTGTCTGTGTCATTCCTTTTCTCCTTTGTGAGAGTTCAACTTTGGTCTGTTTTATATATTGGGAATACCTGGATCTTTGTAAGATTTTATTTGGAAACACATTTTGTACTTTATTTAAAAATAGGTTTGGTTAAGATTTCCTTGGCTGCTGAGGAGAGAACAACTTGAGGTTGCTCAAGTAAAAAAATTTTTCTAAACGAATGTGGGTATATCTTGTGAAAATCAAATGCAACCATGCATTTAAAATTTTTTTTCTTTTTACATTATATGTATATACTTAACTGTTCAGTATAAATATATATGTTGAAATACATATATACAGATACAAATACAAGTTTATATATACAAATATAAATACATATGCTGATAATTTCTTTTCATATGCCAATAGACTGACTTGTGTACTCCCTGGAGTGACGACTCCTGATTTGTGGCAATAGCTGAGCTAGACAATCTACCCAAATCTCTTGCTTGACCCCTCGAGCTTTAGTGACCTTTTCCTTCATCCCACCATGACCACTCATTTGAAAACTTAGCATTGTAGACTTTGTCAGTATCATTATTTCTGACCTCAGTTTTAAACATCTTTCTGATGATTACTTTCTGTTTCTGCCAATTCACTCTTCGAATTTAGCAATTTTCAGAATGCGTCAAGACTTTTAACAGTTTTCACTTATCTCCTTTTACCTATGCTGTTGTCATTTCCTTGCAAACAGTAACTCTCCTATTCTGTTCTCTGCTTAACCAGGCAGGAGGGCAAGTCTGGCCAAATCCATCTTTCTAATTGTTTTATACCATGTCTCTTAAGCCTTGGAGATTGCCACGCATCCAGAAATATTCTCTTGTGAACTGTTACAGATGATTCATTCTTTCTTCTCTTTAGACTAGCTTTCCTCCATTATAATAGTCACTTCCCTATGGTTCACAAGTTAATTTTTCCTCTTTGCAAGAGACTGGCCTAATCAAATTGAGCATATCTTGGACCTCATTCCAAGAGATTCAAAGGAGAATGAGAACTGGTCCAATTGGAGAGAGGTTTATCCTTGGCACCATAAACTATGGCCAGAGGAGCAAAAGTTACTCTAACCATGACTGCTGGGGCCCACCCTTCAGAATGCATGGGTAGTGAAAATCAGGATGGTGTTACTTGTTTAGAGATGGAGTCATCTGAAAAAGGAGAAGGAAATGGCAACCCACTCCAGTATTCTTGCCTGGAGAATCCCAGGGACGGGAAGCCTGGTGGGCTGCCGTCTATGGGGTCGCATAGAGTCGGACAGACTGAAGCGACTTAGTGACAGCAGCAGCATCTGAAAAAGTAAAAACGGATTAACCTTAGTTAATCAGTCTTTAAAGCATAGAAAGGTTCTTAATCTGTATGGGTGGGTGGGCGTTAGAGAGCCCCCAAGCATCCTGGTATTGTTAGAAAATTTTCATGTATGTGTGCATATGTGACTTTTAATGGAGACGAGGCCCACAGTTTTTAAAGTCTCGAAGGAAGTTATGACCTACATAAAGGACTGCTGTAGGGTTTATTTTAGCAATAATAATCTGGTTCCATGGATCTAGATATCTTAATAGTAAAAGATGAGTAAAGAAGTAGTTCTTGCTATTGTATTTTTAATTCAAGATAATTAAAGAGGTGAAGAAAACAACTTCTAATGGAAAGGAGTTTTTCAGAACTTGAGTTTGACACATGCATGTTGTGAATTATTCTTTTCTTTTCATATATATTTTAGATCAACAGAGAAGAATATTTTTACCACCTCCACCTGGAATTAGAAAATGTGTCATATCCACCAATATTTCTGCAACATCTTTGACAATAGATGGAATCAGGTATAGCTTTTAAAATTCCTTTTAAAGCCAAGAAGCCACTTAGTTAATCATAAAATATTAAGTTTGTGTCTCTGTGCCTTCCACTGGTTCCCCTCTCACGTACTTAACCTGTAATCACCCACCATTTTTGGTAATTATTGTTTGCTCTGAATAGGAAATGGAGTAGGAAGTGCATATAGTATTTCTGTTGATACTTTTAAATACTTGTAGTTGGCAACTTGTAGCTTTCTCTTCCCAAATGTAAGATTATGTGTAATGTTTCAAGGATTTCTTTAAGTGGGAGGCCAAACCTGTTCTGTGTTCCCGTTACCAGCGGATACCTAAGATGATCTGATATTCCCTTCTGATCTGTCAGCTCCACTTCATATAGTTAGCTTTGTAAGTCCAAGTGTTTATCTGGAGGTACTAGTTCTTGCTTTTCAGCTTTTTGTGAAATGGACTTTATATTTCAGTGTAATCAATGATGCCATCAAATTTTTGAAAAATTTTATAGAGAAACACTTGGAAATTTTAAGTCTAGACCGATAGCTAAATGAGAAATCTTTTAGACTTTTGAGCCACATTCCTTCTGGATGCTTATCTTTTAGCCAGTATATTTTATGTCCTTAACTAAGTCTGTTTCTGCCACAGGATGACGACCTGCCCCAAAGATTTCTGTATGTTTCTTTTGGGTAAAATGATCATCTAGATCTAAGAGGAAGTTTAATTTCCTCTGCTTCTCTCCTTAACTTTAAAAATAATGGTTTCACTAAGGGCTTAGATGAGCAATTCTCTTGAATAAATTAATCTCTGTAATTTTTTGTTTCCAGCCAAGGCAATAGTCATGAAATGGCGTTTTTCAGAATGTTCCCTTAGTGAATGATAGACTTAGTACTGTTCCTGACTTAGTTTTTTACCTGACTTGTTCTCCATTTAATTGGCTTAAAGTGGTGTTGTTAAAGGGTAAATGGAGTTAATTCTGAACCTGTTAGAATTGATTTAGAGCTGATTTTCAAGTTTTTCATTTGTTGTTGTTGTTTAGTCACTAAATGCGTGTCTGGCTCTTGCGACCCCATGGACTGTAGTTCATCAGGCTCCTCTGTCCATGGGATTTTCCAGGTAAGAATACTGGAGTGAGTTGCCATTTCCTTCTCCAGGGGATCTTCCCCACCCAGGGGCTGAACCTGCGTCTCCTGCATTGGCTGGTGGATTCTTTACCACTGAGCCACTAGGGAAGCCCTTGATTCCTATGGGACAACATAAGATTTACATAGAAAAGTGGATAATAAAGTAGTATTTATTCTGTATACAGTGTGGCGCAACCACCACCTCTATCTCATCCTAAACTTTTCATCACCCCCAAATAAAACTATATACTTATTGTCGCCCATTTATGCCTCCACCCTAGCCCTTGGCAGCCACCACTTAATAAATATCCTGTGTTGGATATTTCATATAAATGGAGTCATACAGCATGTGATCTTTTGTGCCTGGCTTCTTCCACTCAGCATGTTTTTTGAGGTTCATCCGTGATGTAGCATGTATCAGTGCTTCATGCTTTTTTATAGCTGAATAGCATTCTGTTGTATGTGTAGACATAATGTGCTCACCCTTTCATCTCTGAATAGTTAATGAGCATTCATGCTGTTTCTACCTTTTGGCTCTTATAGTGCCCCGATAGTGCACTGTGAAGATATGTCTGCAGGTATTTGTTGAGTGGGCTTCATGGGTGGCTCAGTGGTAAAGAATTTGCCTGCCAGTGCAGGATACGTGGGTTTGATCACGGGGTGGGGAAGATCTTCCTGGAGGAGGAAATGGCAACCCACTCCAGTGTTCTTACTTGGGAAATCCCATGGACAGAGGAGCCTGGTGGGCTACAATCCACAGGGTCCCAAAGAGTGGGACAGGACTGAGCACACACACATGCAATTTGTTGAGTACTTGTGTTCAGTTCTTCTGAGTGTATTCCTAGGAATGGAGAGTTTGAGTCATATTATAATTCTACATTTAATGTCCTGAGGACCCACCAAACCATTTTCCACATTGGCTGAACCATTTTGCATTTCCAATAGCAGTGGAACCAATAGAGTTCCACTTTCTTCACTTTCAGGTTTTACCCTTAACTGAAAAGTTGTTGTGTAGTTTTTAGTTTGATAGAAAAGAAGTACCCAAAGTGGTTAAAATTAGCAAGTCTTTCCATATTTTCTAGAAACTTAACTTTTTTCCATGCTTCTTAGATACGTGGTGGATGGTGGCTTTGTGAAGCAGTTAAATCACAACCCCAGGTTAGGATTGGACATCCTAGAGGTGGTTCCAATTTCAAAGTAAGTCTCTGTGTTAAGCCTTTTTGTTCAAAGAGCAGTTCATTAGATAATTTCTAATTGTTTTGAGAAAGAAAATGAATTACTTAGAAAAAAAAATCACAGAACATTTTGGGGACTTTTTGTTGTTTTTTTCCTAAAGGAGTGAGGCGTTACAACGAAGTGGCCGAGCTGGCAGGACTTCCTCAGGAAAATGCTTTCGGATCTATAGTAAAGATTTTTGGAACCAGTGTATGCCTGACCATGTGATCCCTGAGATTAAGAGAACTAGTTTGACATCTGTAGTTCTGACCTTAAAGTGCCTTGCCATACATGATGTAATAAGGTATGTAGACAACTTGAAAAAAAAAAAATTTGTTAGGGAGTCAGGTTTTTCCTCTGAAATTTTTTTGAAGTATTTGACACATATGGCCCTCCATTTCAAGGTTTAACTAAACCCAAATAAAAGGTTTCTTTCCCTTGCTTTACCGGGATTTGATCCCTTGCTCATATTTTAACCTTGGCTTAATGGAGTGTTTGTTTCAGGCTGATGTTTATTTGGATCATTTAGTGACCACTGTTTATCTGTAGTGAAAGGTATACAATGACCTTCATTCCACTTAGAAAGTGTTGTGTTTTATTTTTGGAGGGATTAGCGTTTTTTATGTAGCCAGCATGGTACCAAGTACCATGAGAGGGGAATACGCTTTAGTAGGTTTTGCTTTCGCTAAGCTTAAATTCTAATGGGGAAATGAGATTTAGATATGAAGCAAAGAATAGAACAACTGTTAAATTTTAGTTAAATGTTGAACTGTATAATTAGTATAGGACAGAATATTGTAGGGCCTTGAAATTTTACCATTATAAAATTTATGGTAGAAGAAATAGTGAAAGAAGAGTATTATCTTTGTCTTAATTTTGTTTTTAATTTGTCTGGGGATGTTGAAGTGTCAGGAACCTAGGGAGAAGATGGCTGCATTCTTTTCTGTTTTTCATGCCATCTTTAAATTCATAATAAGAGAAATAGTTACTAGATGCATCCAGATATGTTTTATATACTCTTGGAAAGCCATCTGAGATTGATTTTTTTTTTTTATAACACCGGAGTTATTGTAACACCAGAGATTTTCTAAATGAGAATAAAACTCCTAGAAAGAAGAAAGCAGATATATAAAATTGTTTTCATAAATGATACCTATGAGAAAGGCCATTTTAAAGAAATCTAATTGACCAAACAGATGAACTCAGATTGAAAATATTTATAAAGGCTAACAGAGCAGCATATAACCAAGAATAAATATATATTAGAAAAATAGAAACTATAATTACTCAATATCATCTGCACTGAATTATTTTTCCATCTTAAGTTTTAAGACTTAGAAAGTACTGAAAATTCTTAAAATGCTAGAGACCAAAAAAAAAAAAAGACTTCTTTCCCCACCCCTCTTTCTTTTTACTTCTAGTTTTATTGAGATATAATTGACATACAGCACTGTATAAGTTTAAGGTACACAGCTTGACTTATATACATTGTGAAATGATTACCACAGTAGGTTTAGTGAACATCCATCGTCTCATACAGCTAAAATATTAAAGAAATAGAAAAAAAATTTTTTTTCCTCATGCTGAGAATTCTTTCATATATAACATACAGCAGTGTTAATTATTTACCATGTTCTATCTCCCTGTAATAGAGAACCGGAATTTGAAATAGATGGTATAGTATTCACAGGTAACAAAAGAAAGTGGAGCTTTGGTTGTTACTGAGCTTCCCCATTCTCTTCCATCACGGATGATTTTAGGGACTTTCCTGGTGGGTAGCACCATGGAGAAGAACCTGCCTGCCAGGTTCAGTCCCTGGTCTGGGAAGATTGCACATGTCATGGCGCACCCAAGCCAACGCGCCACAACTGCTGAGCCCACAGCCTCAGCTGCTGCAGCTGGACACTCTGGGACCTGCGAGCTGCAAGTGCTGAACCTGTGAGCCGCAACCGCTGCGCCTGTGAGCTGCAGCTGCTGGAGCGCGCAGCCTCGAGCCTGCCCTGTTCAACAAGAGAAGCCCCTGCCGTGAGAAGCCCAGCACGACAGCGAAGAGGAGCCCCTGCTGCGGCAACTGAAGAAAGCCCGAGTGCAGCAACGCAGACAGGACAGCCAAAATAAACAAATAAATGAAAATTTTTAATGAAGAATGATTTTAAAACTGAAGAGAGAAGAACAAGTCTAGACAAGAAGGGATGATGACTAGTATGGATTAGAAAATACTGAGAGAAACCCTAACAACCATAGATGAGGTTGTCTTGAGGCTTTAGACATTATTTCCACAGTACTAAAAGAACTTGCAGATATAATGTCAGAGGTACTATAGGTCACCTCTGAGAAACTATGCAGAACAGATTAGCAGAAAATTGTGAGAAACTAAAACAAATTTTCCACTTAAGAAAAGGGCAGGTTATAGAAATAGCTGCCTAGTAAGCTTTACATTGATTCTTAGCAAATTCTACCATTGTTTATTGGAAAATGGTTTGAGAGAATATAATGTTGATTTGTAATCATCAGTGTGAATCAAAATGGATCACAAAGAATATGTCCTCAAACCATTCCCTTTTCAGTTTGAAGACAGGACCATTCACATAACAGATGCAAGAAGTGATTAAATGATAACCTGATGTCTCTTGTTTTTGACACAGTATTTAACAATATTACATTTGACATCTTTGTGAATAAGAATATGACAGTACTGCTGAATTAGGGTATAGTCACCACATAGCCAAACCCAGAAAGTATTGATTAATTGTTCACCAAGCCTTGATGGGGGTTTTACTGGTAGTATGCTGAATTTCACTTTTTCCTGATAAGCATTTTAAATGAAAATATTCAATAATCATATAAAAATCATGATTTCCAGATTTTTGGTAAAAATTTGCATACCTAATAGGTAGATGATTAAAACTGCAACTTAGAATGGTCTCATAGGCCAGAACCTTGGGCAAAAATCACCAAGGTAAAAGTCTGAAAGGATAGATCTAAAATCCTGTGTTTTGATTGCACATTAAAGAAGTTCAGTGTGGAGAAGATCTTAAGTTATCTGATCACCACAAACTTAACATGAGTTTGCAGTTATTCTGTTTAAAAATTTTAAAAAACCCTACTGCATAAACTCTGATTATTAGTAGACTGCAGTGTCCAGATGATTGGGAATTATAGCATTCCTCTTCAGTGTTGGTCACTCTACATTTGGAATTCAGTTTTGCATGTTATCATGTTTTATGACGAGTTTGACAAGCTAGATTGTTTCTAAAAAAAAATGCTAATTATGTATGATGGGTTTCTTAGAAACCAGAGAATACAAGGAGAGTTTGACAGAATTGGTACTTGATATAATCAAGGGGAGAAATAATTGTACTTTTAACAAATCTAAAATGGCTCTTATGTAGATGAGGAAGCTGACTAGTTTGGTATTGTTCTAGGATTGGGGTCACAAAATCTGGTCCAGGCTCACTGATTGTTTTTGTAAATAAAATTTTATTGGAACACAGCCATGCCCTTTCATTTATGTATGGCTGCTTTGGCTTTAGCAGTAGAGTTGAGTGGTTGTGACAGAGACCATATGGCCTGTAAAACCTAAAATATTTACTGTCTTGCCTTTAAAAAGTGGCTTCTCTTATAGCTCAGTTGGCCTTTAGAAAGTTCTTGCTAACTCTTGCTCTAGCAGATAACTGGACTTGTTGATGCAAGTTATAGGAAAACTGACTATAGAACAGTCAACCAGATTTTTGTTTATTTATATTGAAATAGAGCTGTCAATCCTGGAATGGACTTTTTTTGTGTAAGATACTGGACCTTTTCCAAAAGTGAGAAATTGGAGTGGATAATTTTATCATCTCAAAACTAATGTTGGGAAAAATAATCCAGTGCAGATAATATTAAGTAATTATTGTCCCGGTGGGCAGGTATATATTCACCTTGGTTATATGTCTCCCTGCTGTCCTTTGTGAATATTATTTTTTTCCATATTTGAAGAAATAATTATCTTCAAGTGTGAAATAGATCCCATGCTCTAGGGGCATCTCTCAATAGTCATACCGACCTTTGTGAATACTGTTGTCTTATATTACTTAATGATAGTGTGGTATGTAAGACAATGTCCTTACTTTCAGGGGACATACTCTGAAATATTTGGGGGTAAATTGGCATTGTATTTACAATCTGTTTGCAGACAGTTCAAGAGAAAATAAGTCCATACGTATCCATGCAGACCAGCAAATTGGTAAAGTTAATTGAAGCTATTTATCATTGTATCAAAAACCATTTTGAAGTACTGTTAAATAATTTGTAACTTTTTAGCTACTTTCAGTTAATTCTTCACTGTTTTTTAAAATTGTAATAAAAATTACAGACTGCAGAACAGAATAGACGATATTGGCTATAAAGAACCTTTGTTAAGATAAGTAGAGAGGAATCATGAGAGTATTGCAGCTAAGGGGGAATCAAAAAAAGGGGCCTCTTGAATTAAATAGAAGAGTGTGATTCAGAAAAAATTTCCTCCTTTGTCAAATGCTGATTACCATCATAGAATGCTAAAAAGAAAAGAGATAGAAAAGAAAACTTGAAAAACAGAAGGAAAACCTTTTAAAGGAATTTTGAAATCTGTATAAAATCTTGCCATGTTCAAGGAGTGAAGTCTCATTTTATGTATCACTTAAACACACAGGTTCCCCTATTTGGATCCACCTAATGAAAGACTTATTTTGGAAGCTCTTAAACAACTTTACCAGTGTGATGCTATTGACAGGTAAACAAGAAAAACCCTCAAAACAAAACCAACCACAACAGATGTTAATCTCTTTTTTTTTTTTTAAGGGTTCTTAATACTTTCCTTTATCATTAGAAAGTGATTTGTTTGAATTGAATGGATTGTTTTCCCTGAAATTAGAATTTGTTCTCAGTCTTCCCTCACCACAATTCTGAAGTTATACCATAAACCTGTTTTTGTTTAGTATTGGTAGCATGTAACACATAATTTCTGAGTACCATTTGCATTGCCAGGCATTGTGCTGGGCACATCAAAATAATAAGTGAGCCAGAGTCCTTGTTCTCATGACTATGTGATGGGAAAAGATGTGGTAATTATCACTGTCTCATTTCCTTAAGGACATTTTCCATGCTTCTGTAGCATTGTGTGCCTGTTATTGTATTACCGTATCCTGCCTTGTTGTTTAGTTTGTTGGCTAGATAGGCCCTTGAGAGCAAGGAATTTTACTATCTTTATGCTTCTTTTATCAATGTCCATCGTGTGTCATATTCCTTATATTTAATTGAATTTCTAGAGGTAATTTAAAGTAGTCTAAATTATATCTGACTTATTCTGAGTGATAAACGTTTCACTTGTACTCTTTGAAGGCAGAAAGACTTAAGAAACTTTTCTTTCCATGAAGGAGTGGCCATGTGACCAGATTGGGTTTGTCTATGGTGGAATTTCCTCTCCCTCCACATCTGACATGTGCAGTAATAAAGGCTGCTTCTCTCGACTGTGAAGATCTACTGCTTCCAATAGCAGCGATGTTGTCTGTGGAAAATGTCTTCATTAGACCTGGTAAGAAATTTATTGATGAATTTTTTAAATTAATAGATTTTATTTTTTAGAGCAATATTAGGTTTATAGAAAAATTGAGGGAAAGTACAAACACAGAGTTTTCCCTATTATTAACATTTTTTACTAGCTGATACCTTTGTTATAATTAAAGAACCAATATTGATACATTATTATTACTGAGGAGTTCGGTGTTTGTGTTGCAAATTCTGTAGGTTTCGACAGATCTGTTTAATGACACATAGTCACCGTCAGAATATTGTGCAGAAGGGTTGCACTGCCTCAAACGTTTCCTGTGTTCCACCTAGTCGTTCCTGCATCCTTTCCTCCAAGCCCTTAGCAACCCCTGATCTTTTTTTTGCCTTTTCCAATATAGTCAACTATATATTCTGACTATACAGATTCCTGTATTCCTGTACTAGAATGTATTCCTTCCGATACCTTTTCAGATTGACTTCCTTAACAGTGGGCTTTTGTGGCTCCTCCATGTCTTTTGGTGGCCTGATAGCTCATTTCTGTTTTTGGCGGGAGCACATAGACTTTCTCCAGTCATAGCACATGGGGCTTCTCTAGTTGCAGTGCGTGGACGTGGTTGCCTCGTGGCATGTGGGATCTCAGTTCCCCGACTGGTCTCAAAGCCATGTCCCCAGTGTTGGAAGATGGACTCTTAACCGCTGGACCTCCAGGGATGTCCCAGCTCATTTCCTTTCGTTGCTGAATAACATTCCATTGTGTGGAGTTTGTTTATCCATTTTCCTATGGAAAGACATCTTGGTTGCTTTCAAGTTTTGGCAATTACAGATAAAGCTGCTATAAACATTTGTGTGCAGGTTTTTGTGTGAACATTGATTTTCAACTTATTGCCAAATTATATGATAAGAATATGTTTATATT